TTCTCGCTCCTGTTTCCTAAAAATCAATTTCCTTAAATATCTCTCCCCCATCCTCTTTCTCTCTCTCCCAACGTCATATTTCTCTCCCTCTCTTCTTTCCTTAAATCTTTTCCCTATAATCAAATCTTTTTTTTTCCCTTAAATTTATCAAGCAAAGACTAAATCAAATGCTGCAGATACAAACCACATTGACTCTATTAAAGGAAGTAATAGACTCATTCATCATTTTATTAGGGAATTTCATATTTGCTAATCAATTCTATAAAGCATTATCTAATCAATTCTTAGGGAATTTCATACTTGCTATAGGATTGTATATTTATGGTTTATGATTTTTTGTTAATGAAAGTAGTGTTTAATTTCGTATAAATATTTAGTTGTGTATTTATGATTTTTGCATTTTTATGCATTTCTTCATTGTTTTTGGCTACATTTTCGATCATTTCCATCATGTTCTCCTTAGTTTCTATGTGGAATTGATTTTTATTTTTGTAGATCTTTAAGTGATCTATAGAAGCTCTAGCATGATTCATTGATTGAAGCTCTGCAAATTAAGTACTTCGAGATGTTCTCAACGGATCTACTGTGAAAATATAATTTTAAGCTTTCAAGGTAAGTAATATTCAATTTTCTCTATATTTTTATGCATACTTTCATTGCTTTTGCCTACATTTTCGTTCATTTCTATTGTGTTATCCTTAGTTTCAATGTGGAGTTGAGTTTTTTGTTTTGCTTTATTTAATATTATGTAGAATTGAGTTATTTTTTATTGATGTTGTAGTTCTTTTAGTGGTCTACAAGGTAAATAACATTCCGTTTTTTTTTTGCATTTTTATGAATTTTTTCATTGCTTTTGCCAACATTTCGGTCTTTTTCATCATGTTCTCCTTTGTTTTTATGTAGAATTAATTTTTATTTTTTTTAAAATATTATGTGAAATTGAGTTATTTTTGTTTGTTTTTGTTGATCTTTGAGTGATCTACAGAAGTCCTAATATGATTTGTTGATTGAGGCTTTGTAGTTCATATTGTTTGAGATGATTTGAGTAATATTTGCAATATTGCTGATTTTTTTATCTATTCTCAGTCATTTCTTTTGATGTGTCTCATTTGTAAATAAATCTCTGATCTAATGAAATCCTAATTGCATTTCTTGATTGGAGCTCTACGTAATATCATTTTGGTTCTCATTTCATTGGATGTGAAGACACCTCTTTTTTATGAAATAATTGAATCGAATTCTAATAAATAAAGAATATTATAATATGAGTATTCATTAGGTAATTAAAAAAAATTATATTCTTGAATTAGTACTATACATTAAATATTAGCATTAACACATATAACATTTGCATTAATTCAGTTATTAAAGCTGCTTTTTTAAATTTCTTCGTAAATGTGCATTTTGCCTTCATTGTAGATTTTTCAAACTATTCAAATAAGCTATGATTTTAGGTAATTATAAAAATATATATTATTGAGTTAGTACTATATATTAAATATTTTCATGTCTGACTTTGAGATTAGGATTTTTATTTTCAAATACTGATTCCATGGACACGATTTATGGATCTAATGTGAAAATTGAATTTTGGGTAATATATGCAATCTTACATAATTTTTTATCTATTGTCAGTTATATATTACATATTACATTTTATTTTTCAATTTTTTTTTGTATTTTCTATATTTTTTTTGCAACTTCTGATATCCGCCATGAAATTGGAAAAAAAAGTTGCACACGCCATAGTACTATTTTTATTTTTTCTTATTTCTTTCATTTTTAAAATTTTTAAATTGACATTTTCTTAATGGCCTATTTTATACTATTGAATAAGAATTATATTTGATAACATAAATAGAATATATCAGTAAGCAATAATAAAAATTATTTAAGGGTGCGGTTTCTATAAGGTTGCAACCTTAAACAATCCAATTAAGGCTCACCTCCAAATTTTATCATAACATGTAATTTTGTTGTAAAAAA